AGCATGGGCTGGGATCCCCTCAGGGCCCAAGTCTGGTTCCCCTCCACACACAGGGCAGAGTGGGTCCCTTTCCAGACATGGATTTGGGGTCTCATCCAGCTGCTGCCTGGGATCCCTGTCTGGGTACAGGTTAGGGTCCCCATCTGGCTGTGGGTGCCATATCCCACCCTGCTGGGGCTGCTGGTTCTCCCATGGCTTCCCCTGCCCATCACCTGCCTCCAGGAGCTCAGGAAGGGCCCTGAGCTCACCCCTGTGTCACCACACGGTCCCTGGTGCCCCTTATGTCCCAAGCCAGGGTCTGTCCCCAGAATGTGGGCTGGGGTCCTGCCTGGCTGGTCCACAGGGGATGGCTTGGAGAAGCACAAGGATTTTTTGAATATTCCAGCAAACTTATGGAGGGTGTCTGAGACACAGCGGTACTGTCACTGCTAACTTCATTCCCAGAAATCCCACTTCCAATACCAAAAGTTGCTTTTCCTAATTAAAAAAAAATCCAAAGAAACTGAAACCACAAACTCCAGGGTTTCCACATGAAGCTATTCCAGAAATGGTTCTGGCCAAAAGAGCTGTGGGTGGGGATCTCTTCAGCCTGACTTAATGAGTGCTTGGAGAGGTGGGTGCTGTCTCTGAGCTCAAAACCCACCCCAGGCACCCCGGAGTCACCCCCAGTGACCCCTCAGAGCCAGTTTGCCCCTGTGGGTTTGTCTGATGATATAATCTCTTTCCTGAAAATGTCACTCCAGAGTTGCCAAATCCACTTATTTTTCCCCCTCCAGGAGACACTCCAGAACAACCTGGTTTTTCTCCAGAAAGAGAAGGAAGAACTTAAGCTCAAAGGAGAGCAGAAAACCAGTGACCTGCTGGTGTGTTCCTCTCCATGCCCCACACCTGCTTACCTGCTCAGCTTCATGGCCAGGTCCCATCTTTCCCTCTCCCCGTCTTTATCTCCTTTTCCATGACAATGCTCTTTTCTCTCTCCCTCTCTGCCCATCCTTGGGTCCATCAACATCCAGATTTGCCACCCCTCTCTCCACTCTTACAGCTTTTACTCTCCAAAGTCTCTTCTTCTGTTCTGTGTGATCCTTGCCCCCACTCCACAGCACCTGTGTCCATGTGAGGGGAGCCGGAGCCTGGGATGGCTCAGGGTCTCAGTGTGGTGCCTTGCAGGGGACAGAGGCCTCAGAGTGGCAGAGGCTGCAGGACACCTTTGAGGAGCTGCAGCAGTTCCTGAGGAAGCAGGAGGAGGTCCTGCTGCTGCAGCAGGACCAGGTGTCTCAGGAGCTCGTCACGAAGCACAGTGAATACATGTCTAGTGTTTCCGAGAGGAATTCACTGCTGGACACACTGATTGCAGAGATTGAGAAGAAACATGACCAGCCAGAGGTTGAATTCCTCATGGTGAGGCTCTGTCACCCACCTGGGCTCTGTGACCCCCCGGAGAGGCTGGGGCCACCCACATGGCAGCCTCCCCATCCCAGTGCAGCCTGGAGCCTGTCACAGGCTGTCACACCATGATGTGTGGTGTGTGGGGCTGGGGCTGCAGTGTGCCCTGAGGGAAGGGTGAGGGGTGGAGGGACCCTCTAGTCCCCATCAGCTGCTTCATGCAGCAGGGCAGTAACTGACTCGCTGCCCCAGGCACCACAGTCCTTCTCGGCTGTGCCAGAACTCACCTGGTGTTTTCTCTCTTCCAGGATGTTGGCAAAATCCTGAGCAGGTATGAAATGGATTCAGTGTTGATCTGCTCCAGCAGGTCTCTTTTGGGCAGAGGTTTGGGAACATTGCAGGAGCCAGGAGGGAGGTGGTTTGCCCTGCTGAGTATTTGGTATTGAATATGATGTTACTGGGAACCAGAGGTCATTGCACCCCTTTTAAAGATGTGGGTCCTGTGCTGGTATCTGGGACAGCTGCAGGGGATTTCCCCTGCTCCCCTCCTGGGTGCTGACTGACAGCTGGGCTCAGAGCTCCTCTCGGTGTTGTTCCCCATCAGCTGTGAGGCAGCCAGGGCCCCAATCCCGGAGCCAGTTTCCCCGGAGCTGCAGAGGACCATTAAGAGCCTCTCCAAGACGAGACAGCTGGTCCTGGACACAGTGGCCAAATTCAAAGGTAAAGCACTGCTGGCTCGGTGCTGTGCTTCCCCTGTGCTTGGCTGGCAGTCCATGGAGGTCCTGACTGCCTGGTGTCCCTGCCCGGGGTCTGGCAGCAAAACACCTGCTCCATATGAGAACTGTCTCCAAGTTGGGCTTCACTGGAGCATTGGGCTATGTGAGCTCCATGTGTGCCTTGCTGTCCTGATGGGGAGTGGGAGAGGTGCCATGGGAGGAGAGAGACTTGTATATCTTCTCTTCCTTCCTCCAGTGAACCTGCTGAGTGTGATGGACAGGGAAAGGGGTAAGTTTCTGGAGCTGATGGGCATAAATGAGGGAGAAAAGCTTTCCAGAATGAGCTTCCTCCGGTCCTTGGAGCAGAGATGGGCTCATGCCACAACATCTAAAACCAGCATCTGTCTAAAATCATGTCCTGCTGTTTCGACTAGGCCTGCTGTAAAAATCCAGGTCTGTTACCCAGGCCAGGCAGTGCCAGTGATGCTGTCCTCATACGCTGGCCGAGGACCAGGACAGCACAGAGCAGTGTCAGGCTGTGACCAGTTCAGCAGAGGGGCCCTGTGTGTTTAAAGCTGGCATTTAAGCACAGTTCAGAACTGCCTTTGCAGGTGCTTGGGGTCTGGGTGGTGCCGTTTGTACTGGGTCCGGTCTCTGCCCTCTCAGTTTCAGGGATGAGGGACTTGAGCACAGGACAGTCGTGTCTCAGTTTCCCCCACGCTGCAGTCCCTGGAGGAGTGGGTTTAGCAGAGAGAGGGACTGGGGTGGAGGCACTGCTCGGTGACACCTCTGTGGCCTTGCGGGATGGCCGCGGGATGGCAGCAGAGCATCCCGCATGGATGGGTGACTCCTGCTCTGGAGTGAGGCTGCCTGGATACTCGGCAGAACAGGGTTAGGAGCTGGTTTTCCCTTAGGTGAGCGCTTGTCACCCTTGTCACTGGAGCAGGGATTGGCCTCGCACCACTCCTGCCTTGCAGCAATGGCTCCTCACACCCACGGGATATACATCTCCCCACACCCAGCCTGCCTGTGGAGCCAGCAATATACTGGCAGACCTCGAAGCAGGTTTAGCAAAGTCCATTGTGCCCATCCCCTGTGCATGGGGACGGTGCCTGGCCTGGTCCTGCTTTGGGGAGCATCGTTTCACCCGTGGGTCCCGGTGGGGAGGGCAGTGAGGGTCCTGTGCCACCCAAGGGAGGGAGCTGCAGTGGACAGGAGTGGCCACTGTGCTCACAGGACACGTCCCAGCCCTATGACAGAGGAGGGAGAGGTGCTGGTTCTCTCCTCAGTGGGCACAGACTCACATTTCTCTCTGTCTTGTGTCAGAAGAGGTGACAGTGGACCCAGAGACGGTGAGTCCAGACCTGACCCTCTCGCAGGACTGCAAGACCTTGCGGATGGCAGACGAAGTGCAAAGCCTCCCCGACACCCCTGAGAGATTCACAGGCAGCCCCAGCGCCCTGGGCTCCCGGGGCTTCACATCTGGGAGGCACTACTGGGAGCTGGAGGTGGGGAAAGGGAACAGCTGGGCCGTGGGGGTGGCTCTGGAGTCTGTGCAGAGGAAGGAATCGCTCATCGTGGCCCTGAGGAAGATCTGGGCCCTGCGGCTGGACTGGGATGGCCAGTACACGGCAGTCCACATGCCTATTGCCCCACTGGCACTGAAGGAAGAGCCTCGGAGAATCAGGGTTCACTTGGACTATGAAGCAGGTCAAGTGACCTTCTACAATGTGCAGAACATGACGCAGATCTTGCAGTTCAAGGCTTCCTTCACTGAGAAGGTCTTCCCGTATTTTTGGCTCTGGTCACAGGAAACCTACATCCAGCTGTGTGGCTGACAGGGTCCCTCCTGGTCCTCTTGGCTAGCTGAGCAGGCAAGACATGGGAATGATGCAGCACCCTGCTGCATCTTGCTGCATGCGTCTTGCTGCAGCTTTGCCTGGGCTGGATCCCCTCTGCACATTGCTGCATCTCCTCTTGCTAAGTCCTTTGGAGCATTAAAGATGTGCTGACCTGCCTGGGAGTGGCTGCATGCTGGTGTCCTAGCTAGATCTCATGATGACAGTGTCATGCCTGTCCCTGCAGGCACTGAGGACACAGGCATAATGAGAAGGGAGGAGGGAAGATGATATTATTGCCCTTGTGGGTGTTTGGCACCCCACACCCAGGAAATCAGGGTGGAGTTGCAAGCTGAGCTGATAATAGTGGTGGTAAGTACTCGAAAAAAACCTGTAAAAACGGTTGCTCAAAAGGGGAAGTGTTCAGGGTGGGAACAGGGCAGACCCCGAGGCTCGCCAGGCTGGCAGAGCAGCAGCGATGGGGGTGTCATGGGCATCTCTGCGATGGTGGGGAAGGAGCAAACACCACGTTGTCTGAGCCAGGAACCAGGAGCGTTGTGCGACTCGTGCGTGGCAGGGCACAAGCAGAGGAATATGGGTGATGTCCCGAAGGTGTGGGATTCCCTGGGTCACAGCTGGAGGCAAGAGCCTCTGAAAGCAACGCAGAGAGGTCCAGCAGAGCACATCTGGCAGGGGCTCTGCAGCAGAGATGTGCCAGCCCCGAGGTGGGCAGAAGCCTTACAAACTGCAGGGTGTTCCCAATGGCTCCTTGTCTCACTGGAGCCCTGTTACCTGCTGAGTCTGTGCCGGTTCCCAGTTTTCCCTTCTTCCCCTCGCTCCAGGGCGGGTGGAGGCAAGGCAAGGCGATGGGTAACCTCTGTGAGCTGTGCGCGCCCTTTGCTAAGGCAAACAGCAGCGCCTGGGGAAATGTCAGTCTCCTAAGGCAGAGGGCAGGCACGAGGGCTGCAGAGCTTGTGTGCGGTACAACTGTGGTACACCCAGGCGCTCTTCCC